CCATGAGGCCACACACTCTCTAAATAAAGTAATCCAAGCTAAAATATGTTTTTAAAAGTATTTAAATTATCAGTTTGTTCTTTTGACAGTGGTGACTATACATAGTTTCTGAAATGAGAAAAAAAAACCCTGTGCTGGAAACATCAGTACCCACAAAACATTTAGAAATAAGTTAATCTATCAAAATTAAGTGTAAATAATTTAAAAATCCTACTCTTGATATTTCAACTGTGTAAATGTATTGCATCTGTAACACACTAGTGAACATGTCATGAGCAAGTGCAGCTTTGATTATAAAAAATGTAAATGAAGATATTTGAAGTACAAACCAGGGCAAGCAAGAGGAATATTTTACTCATAAAGTTAACAAACTTTATCACACAAACAACCAGTGAAATAAATGGGAGGCAATTACCAGAAAAGGCAAGCAACTCCCAGATTTGCCAGTAATTTCATACCTGGTTTGATCAAATGTTCAGATTTCTAAACACATACCAGAGGGAAAGGGAAACTCAGTCCCTGCAAAGTGAAATAATCTCCAGGATTTAAGTCTGATTGAGGCATTGCATCAAATGTTTACAGATGAAAACAATGGTAAGTCCAGCCACTGCCTCTTTTTTTTTTGGCCAGTAGTTCTTGAAGTGCTGTGTTCAAGGCACAGATCTTACTTCGGCACTTGACCATCTGCAGCTGCTACACTCTGGCCCCTAGTGAGTTACTGTCCATGAAGTCCATCTTAATGAAGTAGAGGAAAGGGTCTTCAGGAATATAAAAGATTTACCCTGCTTAGCATGGAGCTGTGTGCAATGTGAAATAGAGAGCAAGTGGTGCATGTGCTGATATTTGAAAAGATCTGTGGTTTAAACAGTGCTGAAGGGGCTGTGAACTGTGTTTGGATCTGGTTTGGAGTGCTGAGCACTGCAGAGTGCAGTCAGCTCAATGCCCCTTGTTCCTATAATAAAAATGGTAGGGCCTTTTTACCTGTTTATGACTGCTTCCTTTGAGCTTTGGGTCTACTGGTATGCAAAAGGAAAAAAAAAACAAGCATATGTTCAGTTGCTCAATGAACCTTTTTTCTCAATCCACACTCAGTGATCTCAGTGAGTCATTACGGCATAATTACAATTTGAGTGTGATACACTGTTTGTAGCAGAAGAAATACTACAGTCCCTGAAAGGAGGAGAAAGAAAGGCGAAAAGAAGGAAGAAAATCTGTAACCAGCAAATCAAGGCTATTGTTAACTGATATTAGGAGACGCCCCATAGATTTACAATGCTTGCACTCAGCCACATAAAAACCACACTGAACAGAATGCCTACCAGGGGTTAAATTCATATGCCTGCGCTGCAGCCTATTTCTGTCAACACTCAGCTCAGGAAATAAACATTTATGCTTTCTGAAATGAAAGTGTATTTTTGAAGACTAGCCGTCAGATATTTTTTGCCCTTCACACTTTCAAATGCTTAGCCTTTTTTGTAAGTTGACTGCAAAGTGCATCAGTTTGCTAGGCAAAAAGAAAAAAAAAATCTTGACAAGTGCCCATGGCATCATTGTCAAGCACACGAGTGTCTAGTGGAAGATGGCAGGAGGGTTGGCACAAAACATGCTTCCTTCAAGCTCCTTACCTCAGGGGTATCTGACTCTTGAGAAGCCTTTCAATCCTTCCAAATGACGTTATTGCAGACTGTCATCTGGTTTATTTGGAGTGTGCTGTATTGCAGATAAACACACTGTTTAACTGCAGGTCAAGGTACGGAGTCATCCTGCCAGCAAATGCCTGAGATACATCAGATGGCACTGGCTTGGGGAGGGAGACAGACAGAGATCAAAGTTGTCACCAATATGGTACATGATAAAGGGAGAGGAAGGGGCACAACATAGTATTTTAAAATGTCATCACACAGTCTGCGTTGAAAGCAGTGACCTGCAAGACTCTGAAGCATTAAGGACCCACACAATGCATGACAAAGTTCCAGACCGGAACATGATGCAGCATCTCGGAGTGGTTTGGACACAGCTTGGAGATGGGGCTGGAGAGGTTAAGACTGGTCAGAAGGCTGGAAGAGTCCAAGTTGGAGACTTCTTAAAAAAATAGTTACAATTTAATATCAAAAATATCCCATTGTCAGAGAACATGCTTGATCTGGGGGATTCACATAACAAAAGCTCACAGACTCAGAGTCAGGCATGAAATAAGTATAACCTTCTCCAAACAACTAAAAATAAATCTCTGTATATAAATATATAAGTCTGTGTTATCTATTATTTTAACTGTGACTTGTTGAACACATATTAAAAGGGCATTGTTGTGATACAAGAGACATACTGGATCCTTTCACATTTTATGAAAAAACAAAACAAACCCAGATTAATTACAACTTGATTCAGCTTTGAATTCCCATGAGGGATGCCTTTAAAAGTTAAAACATGCTTTCACTGAACAGGCTTTCAAGGGAAAGTTACTTCGATCAGGAACAAAATAGTCGTGTTGATTTGATTTATTATTGAAGAGTGGAACAGCATGCTTTATATTTGCCAGTTTTTCTATAATGTAAAAAATTTCTTTTGATTTTTATGTGTCATATAAAAACAACTGGTATATTTACTGCTCCAGAATGCAGATTTTTCAAGAGTGCAGTACAATAAATTATATCAACATCCCATTTTCCCCCCTCACAGGGCATATGTAATTTTCTTTGACTGTGGCACACAATAAATGTTATTGAAACATGCTATTTTTTTTTTTTAAATAAAACCAATGCCAAAGAACCTGTATGAAAATAGATAAATGAATAAAAGGGGGGTTTTTAGGGAAAAAAAAGAATACAGAGAGAAATTACAGGTTAAACTTTTTTTAATCAAAACTGATTTTATTGCTTTTTGCTTAATTAAACCTCTCAGAAGTGTGTGAAACATTGTTATACTCGAAAAATTGTTAATTTGTAAATCACAGGGACAAAAGGGCTCCACTGCAACTTTAAAGTTTCTATGCACGTAAATGTCAATAGAGTGCCTTCTCCATCATCAGCACTAAATTCACATTGATGCCTCTTTTCTTCTCTGTATTGATCCTTCCATGAGAACGTAGATTTGTATCTGTTAATTAATGCGTCCTGAAACAGCGTTTGTATTAATCAGGCAGATAAGAAAAATTGGATGCCTGCACCCTCATGACAACCGTAAAAGTGCTGGCCCTGATAAAATCATGGATGGACCTCAATAAAAAAGTTCCTCCTTCCACTCAATAAACTAATCATCCTGCTTTTAATTATTCGGCAGAAAGATGTGTGGAGATTGGAGAATGTGTAAATCTATTTACTAACAGCAGTGTCTGGGAGGGAGAATGGGGCTGTCACAGGACGGTGCTGCAGGCTACACTCTCTGTCCATCTGCTGCTGCAGAAAAACTGGTTCTTGAAAACCAGCAAGGAACAGAAATGTTGGAGCTAATTGAAATCCTGAATTCCTCTCTATAACCTTTGAAATTATTATTTCTTCTCCATTTCCCTCTTATTTATTTTAATCACAGATGTGTTATTTTCCACTGTCACATCTTTAAGGCTTTCCTGTTGTCATTGGATCAGGTTTCGTTGTTTTGGTTTGGTTTTTTTTTTTGTTTTTTAAGGCAGAGAGCTACAGTTCTATCACAGGACTCAAAAGACAGTAAGAGAAAATGAAAACAAATAAGGAGGGAGAGAAAAATGAGAGAGAGAGCACATGCAGCCAGTTTTATGTTTCATTTTTTATGGATGCCTGGTGGTTTGGATGTGGGCTTTTCTTTTTTATTGTATTAGTTTTGCTGCTTAGTGCTTATAGAGAAAATCTTGTTTGGAGTAGATGCCTTGCAGATTTGCTAGTTTATGATATATTCTTGCATGACTGTAACTCTCGACATTAAAAACAGAAAAATGCATTTAAGTGTAATTGAACACCAAAAAGAATGTTATTACAGTGGGAACCCTGTCAAAGGACATGTAAGCAACTCCATAAACAACTAAATGAAAGCCTCAGACATGTCTTAAGACCCTTTAAGAAAAGCTTGACTAATCCCCTTTGATGATTTTATTAAGTACTTGTGGTTGATGGTGCCAACTGGCAAACTGCTGCATTTTGCAGAGGCAGGATTTTCCTGGCCTCTCCCATATTGTTTTCTAGCACCTAATGTGATTGGGATATTAGCAGTTTGATATAATAAATTAACAGGTACTGTAAACAAGAGTCTAAAAGGTAAGGCAGCAAAGATGTTTGCCCTTAGTGATCCTGTTAGGAAAGAAAGCCAGGAGAGGGGGGAAAAAAGCCAAGCAAAAGTTAAATTCATTAAGAGGCATTTAATAAATGTTTGGTTGCCCTCAAAAAAAGGATGGTATGATTGCTATTCAGGTGGCACTTCAGTGTGCCACCCTGTTGTTTCAACAAGTGTAGCAGTGGCAGGCACCAGGACAGAAGTGATTAGTGTATTTTCTGAGAAGGGTGGGTGTTACTTCTCTTTTCCCTGAAGTTAAAGTTCAAGAAGAATTTTTTTTTTATTTTTCATCCTTACCTTAATTCTATTAAAACATCAAATTTTCCCATTTAATAAAATTTTCTATTTTTTCTCATAAATTATCCTTCTTGAATTGTGGTAGTGGTGGATAGAGTAGGCAGATCCCTGTTTCACAACATTAAGTTTTAACAACTAAGCACAAATGTTTCGCAACAAAGAAGATACCATACAAGTCACAGATTGCCACTGCAATACCCCACAGATTAATATGATTTTTACAGGAAGAGCCTGCAAATTCTTGCTTATTTAAAACTTTTCTTTTGATTAGAAAATGTTTGATTTTACATTGATTTACTTTCCTGTAGTAGGATGGTGCGGGGAACACAAAAGCAAAAGGGAGAATAATAGAATACGTGCATGTTTTGTCACTATGTGTATAAAAATAAATCAAAAAAAGAGGATCAGATTTCCAAATGTGCTTAATATTTTTCCTGTATTTTTATTTTTTTCATATTCAGGATTCTCCACTTTGTCTCTAGCTGACCAGATGAGCCTTCTGCAGAGTGCTTGGATGGAGATCTTGATTCTCGGTGTTGTATACCGGTCACTTTCTTTTGAGGATGAGCTTGTATATGCTGAAGATTATATTATGGATGAAGACCAGTCCAAATTGGCAGGCCTTCTTGACCTTAACAATGCCATACTGCAGCTGGTAAAGAAATACAAGAGCATGAAGCTGGAGAAAGAAGAATTTGTCACCCTCAAAGCTATAGCACTTGCTAATTCAGGTTGGCAGAATGGCATGACAGTTGCTACATTTTTAATCTTTCTTTCTTTCCCTTCCTTCCTTCCTTCCTTCCTTCCTTCCTTCCTTCCTTCCTTCCTTCCTTCCTTCCTTCCTTCCTCTTTCTTAATATTTTCTGTGGGCTGGTTTAAAACAGGATTTTAGAATAAGAAATTGCTAATCAGATTTTACATCTAAAAGGCAACAAATAAAGCAGTTCAAACTAAGAACAACTTTCTGGTTCAAAGTAATTGTGGAATATATTCCTAAGGGAGTGGAGAATATTCCACTGTATTATTTGGAGAGTACTTTACAGGCAGAGGTCCCTTCAAATGAAAATAGGTATTGTTCTCCTAAATCCATTTCGTAATGCAGACAAGTCTAATCATTGCAATTAAAACAAAAGAAAGGATGCTGGAGAATATGCTACATATTTTCTCTTTAAAGGGAGCTACTGATTAATTTGATAGACTAAATTCAGGATATGGCAGGAGGGAGGAAATCCATGTTGAATCTCACAAGGACCACACCTTACCTTACGGATCCTGTGCATTCATGAGAGTGCTTCTGCAAAAAAATTATTACCTGTGCAGCAAGAGTTAAAAAAATCTCAGAAAGATTTTTTTTTCTGCATTTGAATTTAAAAGTGCTGAACCAGTGAATACTGTCAGATAAGTAAAAATCATTTGTGCTTTGTTGTTTTTCTTTTTGTGTCTCCTTAATGCTTTATTGTGGTCTTAAGTCCCTTTTAGCATTTGCATAAAGTTCACGATAGATCCCTCTTTAATGACGTGCCGATCATTAGATACCTGTGTGTCAATAACATGCTCTGATGCTATGTTCCATTGACAGTCACACCGTGCCCCTCCATCTGCTTTTGTTTTGACCCTATCTTTGAACTTTATCTTGGTTGCTGGCCAGTAGTTTTCCCTTTAATTACAAGAAGGAAACTGTCAATAAAATCTGTTAAATGGGATGCAATGAGTGGCTTGAATGGGCGGACGGCTATTTGTTCAAATTCTGCAGCATTCAAGGTATTGACAGTTTGTTTTCTGGGGCCATATGTGACGATCAATCTCAGGCTGGGCTCAGCCGCGCTGAAAAATGAAAAACCAGATTGCTTTTGCTTACTTGTGGATGACGACTTGTGATTTGGCGCGGTCCTAGTGAGATGAGACCTTCTGCCCAAATTGCCCCCCTGAGAGCCAGGACGCGTGACTGTTTTTAGAAATAATTTTTTAATTGATTTTGTAATTAACAGTTCATCTACAATATTGATGCATGAATCCTCAGATTGATAGGAGGGAAATTGTTTTCAACAATGAAGTTGTACTTTCCTATTTATCTTTGTAATGTGATTTAGCACTCTGCATTTTTAATTAGAAATATAATTCAAAAACATGCAAAGCCAAAATGCTTATTAGTTTCTTTGTAAAATATTCTCCACCCCACTAACTCTGCCCTTAATTTTAGAATATTATCTTATTCCAGATTTAACAAAATACTGAAATGCCTCTCAAAGATCAAAATTATTCTTAATTGAAGATCTATTTATAATTTTGAACCATTGTAAATAGACACTTGAGGATGCTTTGCAGCTCCAGGAAGGTTATTTCTCAAAATTGGTCATGCTTAATGATCAGAGCAAGAAAGTTATCTGCAATTAGGACTCTAAATGGAGAAGGGCTTTTGTATTTATTTAAATTTTGTAATTCAAAGACTGAATTAGAAATACTTCTGCAGTTTACTTGACAAAAAGGATGAGGCTAGCATAGACAGATATAAAGTTAAATACCACTCCCACTTTTCCCCCCCACCCAAAAAAAAAAGAAAGATATGCAGTGTTTAAGTAATAATAAAAGATAACTGCTGCCAAAAAAAAGTTTAGTCATACACTGTGCATAGAGTGTATCAAAATCATCTGTAGCTTCATTAACTTCGCTGGGAATTACAACCAGGATAATGTCAGAGATAAATACAGTTCAGCATACTAAAATTCAGGGCACATTGAAGTGAAAACCTTTCCTTCCGTCGTCTTCAAAGAGATAAAATTGCTGTCTTAAAATGAAACTGTTGCAAGGAGGAGTTAAAAACTAGCCCAGCCATTCCACTGCCCCTTCAACAGTGTTTCAGATGCTGACATTCAGCGTTTCAGCCTCAGGTTGTGCATGCAGCAGATACCTAACTTCTACCAGCTGCAGCTACAGTAATCTGTAGGTGTAAAATAGCACCTGCAGAATTACAGCCCATCAGTGGATATCAGGCCCTTAGTGTTTCAGTTTACAAATATTGTTAAAATTAAAATAAAATTTAAGTTGGATTAAATCTTCTTGTCTTTTTTTTTAATAGACTAAAGTAGAACAGTTTATTTTCATGTAACTAGAAACTTGGTTAATGAAAATGTAGCTATATAAAAAAACCAAAATGCCATTAGAAAATCAACCAGTAGCAATTCACATTTTAATATATTTTTATTGCTACTTCTGCTTTCTTCCACTGTTTATTTTTTCAGTTTAAAATATATTAGCCTTTTTATAGCTGTGGAGAGTAAAATAAGAAATCTTGGGCGTTTCAGATATTTTTGCCATATCCACACTGTCTAGAAAGATTCCCAGGTTGACTCTACTGTAAACAGTTGACAAAGATGGTTTTACAGCTTCGTATCTGTGTTAGTGATTTATGATACAGTGTCATAGTACTTTCCCTGCTGGTGTTTGGAGGCAGGAAAAAGAAATTGTAGATTGTCTTCATATTGATTGTATTTTGTCTGAATAAATAACACAAGCTTTGTTTTGGCCAAAAAATCTCAGTAGCGTGAGCATTGAAACACATGCTTTTCTTTAGGTCTACAGAGCGCATTTGTGCAGTGCTGGATGTGAGATAATCCTGCCATTTGGTCCCTAAAAGCTGGGGAGGAGTAGCAGTTTTTCAGGGAGATTCTCTGACAGACACTATCAAATGTTCCCTGTGCAGGGCTGGCAATGCCACACCAACTTCCATAAATTTCCAGAAATGCAAGATGTGGCTACGTTGTAGATTGTCACTCATTTTAAACTGAGTGCAAATAGACTTGGGGAGTTTAAATACACATATAAGAGCACAATACTGAAATGTATAGACATTTCAGTTGTGTACGTTAAGTCTGTACAGGCATGATTTCAACAGTTACATTTAATATGTAAATATGGAATTTATCAGGTTAGATTTGAGCATCTGCATTGATTTGATAGTAATTAACACAGCCTTCACACTTAAGAGAAGTCACTCTTTCCTTGTCATTGTCCTTGTCCTGCTGGTGTCACGAGTTCCTCTCTTCTTTCCCTGCCTTCTGTACACAAAAGCCAGGAGGTACCTGGAAGCTATGGGAGGCGACTGCCCCATGTTCTGCCTCACACCGCCCAAATGAGGCGAGCTGGCACCAATGAGCACTTTGTTTACCCACGCAGAAAATCAACTTTGAATGGTTTCCAAAACATGCATGTACCAATTACTTCCTCGTGTGTAAGGGAAGGTGAAATATTTACAAAATATGCTTGAAGTGTACACAAGTGCAGGCACGTGCACGGGAATGTTCCGGCACGGAAAAGATGAGCTGCTCATCTCTTCCGTGCTCCCGTGCATGTTCCCATATATTGATTAGGGTAATACTAAACAGGGAGTCGCAGGTGAGCAGCTTTTTGAAATTGCCAAATCAGTAAGGACTAAATTGGGCCTCCAGGCCAAATGTTGCAGAAGAGCTTAGGAGTCACAACTGAGACCAGAGTTATAAGAGAAGCTCCAATCCTGTCTAAGACCTAAGGAACTGGAATGTCAGAATACGTCAGTGCATTTGACAGTCTGATCTCTGTGTATCTGCTTAATAGGCTGCTGGCATCTTGAAAAACCTGACCCAAATGTGGATGCTAGGCACTTAGATGTACAGCCTTGTGCACTATTGAAAATTTAATCTTAAATCCTAATACTGTCTGTGTAGCATGTACCACGAGAAGGAGAAGAGGACTTGTGCTCACCCTTACATTTCTGGTCTTTTTCAGTACAGAAGGCATGTGAACCAAAAAGTAACTTGTGTATTTTAGTATAATGAAGTGCAGAACAATATTGGTGCCAGTAAAGTTACACTATCATCTCATCCTGTTAAAAAACTAATAAGTCCTTACAAGTTTTTTAGCTTTCCAGACACATTACACTCAGAGCACTAGGCTATCACCATTATATGATATTATCATAATAGAAATTAATTGGTAGAGCCCAGTAAATCACTTACTCCACAGGACATCATCTTTATTCCCAGTGCATGTCACAACATGCTGTATTCCATTTCTAATAATATTTTTCATTTTGTTTTCTACAGTCATCTTGTATCTTGACTGGACAAATATACAGATGTATATATACACAGACACACTTAGCTGTGTGTTAAGGGTTTGTTACCAGTCTTTATTTTGACAAATATAAATAGCAAGGTCTTAACTCTTTTATGTAGTTTTGTATAGAGAATAGTACACCACAGAAACAAATTTTTAGAAAAGGAAGTCAGCACCATAGTCACAGTTTTCATGTTGCTTGCAAACAGTTTATTTCATATTCCATTTTCATGTCATCAAATAGATGATACCTGCAATTCTTAGGGAAAATATATAACTCTGTTACCAGTTGCTTAATGCTGGCATTAGGAAATGGCAACTGAGTTGATCAGTGGTTAATTAAAGTTTAATCAGTGGTTAATCATAATTTTTTTTTCTTTTTTTCTGGAAGCTACTCATAGTAACTGAGTAACTCGAACCTATTCCTCACTTAGTTAGGGAGTAAGCAGGCAGTATTTACATGTTAGTCATAGCATGAGAGTCACAAAGGGCAAGAAACGAGGCCAAACTTAGTTGCCCTCAGTGGTAATTGTGGCAATTTCTTACATCTTATAGTGAATAAAAAGTACTTGGAAATCTTCATTCAACATTTTTTTTAGTTGGTGTCTCACCCCCAGCTGTATCATTTGAGTTCCCTTTT